GCATTGAATGTGAAATTAAATTGTGGATTATGTATTAAAATTTGTTGAATTTCAAGGAAAGCATGGTAAAAATGCATATTGAGTTATATATTGTGATTTACCTCTTGAAAAGAGATGAGATGACCAGTAGTAGGTCAGGTTGTTGAATATTGAGTTGTAATATTGTAAAGAATTGAGAGAAACATGTTTTTAAAAACTTGTACTTAATTTCGGGGACGAAATTCCTTAAGGGGGGAGGTTATAGCGATCCTGATTTTCCCTTCCTTATTTACTGTATTCCGGACTCGATTCCGTTGATAGTTGTGGTTGTCTATATTTCATTTCCGTCCTCTAAGGCTTTGGATTGGAGTTTAGAAATGTCTTGGGCGTGTTTCGAACAGGTTGGTTGAGCTTTAGTCCCATTCCTTGTTGCCCAAAGTTTTGGTGGTCCGCTCGAGCAGATCCCTTCGCGCTCGAGTGGAGTTTGCACACCTTCAGTAGTTTGGCCGTCTGCAAAAGTACTGTAGATGTGCTTTTCATGCTCGAGCGGATTTCATGACGCTTGAGCGGGTCGCGCTCGAGCAAACCCTTTTGCGCTCGAGCGAATGTTCAACGTCTGTAAAAATATTGGGAGAGGGTAATCTACGCTTGAGCGGGTTTCTCTTTGCGCTCGAGTGGGTGTGTTTTGAAGTTGTGTCTTGACACTCAAGCGGGTATTCTTGCGCTCGAGCGGGTCCAGTTTTTGTGCTTGACGCTTGAGCGTCCTATTCTCCGCTCGAGCGGACTAGTCGTATATCAGATGGCAGCTGGGTAATTTTAAATCACTTTTTACACTTACTTTCTCTCTCTTACTTTTCAAAACCTCCATTGGAGAGCACCTCACTCTAAAACTCCAACTTCTCTCTAGGGTTTGATCTAGTAGGAGTGATCTTCTATCTTTGGGCCTTTGTAAAAAGTGTGGAGCTTGTTGAGGGCTACATATTGATCCGAAAATATTAGGGTTTGGAGCATTTTGAATTTCTTCATCTTCCTCCTTTGAGCTCCGACTTTGAGGTCGGGACAACTACTCATTTTTATGAGCTTTAACCTAAATGTTGAGCTTTTTGTATAAATGGTTTGGTTTGGGAAGTTAGGGTTTGAGATGTGTTATATTGGAAAGAAAGGTTTTGTTCTTTTGATTCAAATATGTGTGTTTTGGGTCTGAAAAAGGAGGTTATTGATGTTGTTGATAATATTTGGACCTTTGGGTCAATGTTGAGGAAAGGGAAAAAATGTCATGTTTGGGTATATTTGGGTCATTAGTGTAATTAGTGACATTTATTATGGAAATATGAAATTGAGTTGGGAATAATGAAATTGGCTCATTATGTAGTAGAATGGTGGGGTTGGACTTAATAATCACTCACCTTTGAGAATTATTGATAATCTATCTGTTAGTGCATTTATTATCTGTTTAGAAATAACTGCTTTGGGCTATCGGTGGAGGATAGTCTTGATTGTTGTAGGCACTGCATGATGATTAGGTGAATTAAAACTAATCAATTTGATTATGTCATTGAGTATGACGGTTGGAATAATACAACGAATATGTGTATTGATTGGTCATTATATATGATGAGTATTTGAATACATGGGTGCCGAATCCCGCGGATGAAATTTCCGTAAAATGACAATTCGAAAATAATTATACATGGGTGTCGAATCCCGCGGATGAAATTTCTATAAAATGGCAATTCGAAAATATCTATACGTGAGTGCCGAGTCCCGCGGATGAAATTTCCGTAAAATGGCCACCAGAAAATAATTGTACATGGGTGCCGAATCCCGCGGACGCAATTTCCGTAAAATGGCAGTTTGAAGTATTGTTGGCATGAGATGTAGTCTCATTTAAGTTGTTTGGCCAGGTTCTGAGACGTGTTTACAAGTTGAGATTTTGTTAAGTAAAGGATTATGGAACTGGATTGTACTGTATGTTGGTTTATATGAGTTAAACATTTATCAAGTGCTAATATTTTAGTTATTACTCATATTATATTTAGCATATCTTTACTGGATGTTGGCTCACCCTATTTGGGACATCATTTTCAGGTGCAGGTGACATGCCACCTCCAAGGACGTAGCTTGGGAGGCTTAGTGGCTGAGAGACCTTTTTTATTACTCTTTGTATTACATGTATATCAAGCCAATGTCTTATTTTGTGTAGAGTTAGTACTCTCCTTTTTGTAACCAAGTGTTGACTTGGAATGTTGTAAGCCTGTAGGACATTTACTTTTGTTGTCAACATGTAATACATTATGTAAGAATACTCTGATTTATGAAATGTGACATCTCTTTCTTGTATCATGGATGACTGTTTTTGAGTTTATTCTGAGGGCGTTACATTTTTCAAACGTAACACTCACACTTTGAAATTATATATTTATCCAAAACTTCCTAAGGAATATTTGTACTCCTTTTGGGCTGGATTGAAGAATTTCAAATTTTTAGTTTTTATTTTTTATATTTTTTTTAGTGTTACATTGGAGTGTTATGTTTAGGAAAAGTACACTAATTTATTTATTTTTTTACTTTGGAGCGTTAAGTTTGGGAAAAGTACACCAAAAAGTTTTGTGTGTGTTACATTAAAAAAAAAAAAAAGAAATTTTTTTGGAGTGCTATACTGAAGTGTTACGTTTGAAAAAAGTACACTAAGAAGTTTTTTTGTGTGTTACATTAGAATGTTATGCTAAGGAGTTTTTGTGTGCTACATTAGAGTTTTACACTAAGGGTTTTTTTTTTTAGAGTATTGTGTTACATTTGGGAAAAGTAAAGTAAGAAATTTTTTTGTGTGTTACATTAGAGTGTTACGCTAAGAAGTTTTTGTGTGTATTACATTAGAGTGTTATACTAAGGAATATTTTTGGAGTGTTATATTAGAATGTTACATTTAGGAAAAATACACTAAGAAATTTTTTTGTATGTTATACTAGAGTGTTACAATAAGAAATTTTTGTGTGTTACATTAGATTGTTATATTAAGGAGTTTTTTTGAAGTGTTATATTGGAATATTACGTTTGGGAAAATACAATTTTAAGTCATTTTTGTATTTCTTTTGAAATATTTTCCAAATAAAAAAGATTTTTATATAAATTTTCATCTCAAATTTGATTCTCATATATTGTGTACCTTACCTTTCTAACACAAAAGAAAAAAAAGAGAAGGAACATAATAGAAATAAGAGCATAACCGTAAATCTAATTTTTAAATAATATATTAAATCTACATTTTCAAAATCAATGGGATTAATTGATCTATAAGAAAATCCTTAGGGCTAAATAGATCACCATTTCTAAATATGGGATTTATAGGTAAATTTTCCAAATATTTAATCAGTTTGATTTTGAGTTTTTAAAAATAATTTTAAAATTTTTAATCCATATATATATTTTTAGTGATTTTTTTAAATTAATATATTAAGGAAATTATTTTTAATTTTTAGATCGACTTAATTTAAAATTTTTGAAAAAATCTTTAAACAGTTCACTAAATACTAAAAAATACACCAAAAACATTATATAAAAATTCAGTTTATTTATTTATTATTATTTTTTTGTTTTTAGTAAATTTTTTAAAGATTTCTTCGCAAATATTTTTTGTTTTTATGTACATTTAAAAAAATCACCAAAAATGAAGATATACGGATTAAAAACTTATAATTTTCTTTTCAAAACTCAAAACTAAATATTCTTCATGGAAATTTATAAAGAATCATTCACTAAAATGATGTGGTAATGACAATTCGATATTAAGAACCTTTTCTTTTCTTTTTTTTAATGATGAGCACATAATTCTGCCACATTATATATATATTAAGAAAAAATTTATTGTTAGCCTGTATACTTTGGTTATTGTGTCATTTTGGTTATTATAATTTTAATTTGCTTGATTTTGATTCTAAATTTTTGATATCGTCTCAATTTGGTCTAATTGATTACAATTGGTAGCATGAAAATGTGCACATAAATGGCTTGTGTCATGCTTTTAGGGTCGAAATTTTAAATTTGATCAATTCAATAAATTAACCTCAATCAACTCAAGATATTTTTCATAAAAAAATAAGCCTTAATGATGGTGTCAATTGGACCAAATTGATATAAAATTTAAAATTATGGATTAAAATTAAGCTAATTAAAGTGTAAGGACCAAAATGATATAAGAAATAAAAGGGTAAATTACAAATACACTCCCTGAGGTTTGCTTAAAATACGAATTTCCCCCTGTGGTTCGAAAAATTACAAATACCTCCCATCAGATTTTTTTATTTAACAGAATTAATTCAAAAAGAGAAATTTTTAACTGTTCACCTATAAAATACTAAAATTATCTGAATTATTAATTGAAATAAAATTTTAACATTATTAAAAACTGTTAATTAACTTGATGATTTATTAATAGAAGGACATATTTGCTATGAAATTAGAAACCTTAAGGGATATAATGTAATTCTAAAACACAGGAGGTAATTTGTAATTTAAGTAAACCTCAAGGGTATACTTGTAATTTACCCGAAATGGGAATGTAGGAATTACCAACATAATTTGTCCTATTTTTTATAACCATTTTTTTGTTAGATCTTATTACCATGAAAAATTGCTGGAAATTTTGAGTTTATAAGCTTATTTTTTAGCAATTTTGAGCCCAAATTGAAGTGGGACTCATGTGCCTTTTGAGGTGGATCTAGATGGTGACGTGTTCCTTGTTACATTGTGAATCATGCCTTGAAGTTGGTTCGTCAAAAACATTTCCAAGGGAATGAGAAGTTGATGTCATTTTCGGGCCTGTGAAATTAGATGTTGAAGAGACAAAGTGGGTTTATTTATTAATGGCTTATCTCACATTGAAAGAAGAAGAGTATATAAACTTTAAGTTGGCACACTTGGGATGAGACCCAAGCACTACAAAAAAATACACTTTTGGCGACTAATGTTTTAGTCGCCAAAAGCCCAGATTTTAGTCGCCGAAAATATTTGCCGACCAAAAACTACCCTATCTTACTTCGCAAACTCTGAGATGAAGCATCCATGTTGCAATTAGGGCAGGCCAAGTAACCTTTTGTACTCCAACCAGACAAGGAACCATATGCGGGGAAGTCATTGATGGTCCACATGACTGCTGCATGCATTGTAAATATTTGGCCATTTAAGGCATCATATGTTTGCACACCATGCTCCCACAAAGTAGTTAACTCTTCTACTAATGGTTGCAAATAAATATCGATGTCTCTTCCAGGTGCGGATCGTCCTGGAATAAGCAATGACAGCATGACAAATGGATCTTTCATACACTTCCATGGGGGTAGATTGTAAGGCATTAAGATTACGGGCCACATGCTGTACGATGTACTCATATTTCCGAATGGATTGAAACCATCTGTGGCAAGCCCTAGTCTTACATTCCGAGGATCCGCAGAGAACGTAGGATGCAACCTATCAAAATCCTTCCATGCCTCACCATCAGCTGGATGTCGTAGTACTCCATCATCCACACGCTTATCTTTGTGCCATGTCATAAATGCGGCTGTTTTTTTCGACATGTACAATCTCTTCAACCTCGGTGTCAAAGGAAAGTACCTAAGTATTTTGTGTGGAATTTTTTTACCCGTCTTGTCGTTCAACTTGTATCTACACTCCGTACATGTAGGGCAATTCTCCAATGTGGCGTTGTCCTTCCAAAATAGAGTACAATCGTTTTTGCATGCATGAATGGCCTCATATCCCAAACCCAATTCACGTAAGAACTTTTTCACTTCATAAAGAGTCCATGGAACAGTTTCATCACAGTTTGGTAGAATGTCTTTGAAAACTTGCATAACCATGTCGAAAGATTTGTTGCTCCATTTATTGTACACCTTCAAATGAAGCATCTTAATTACGAAGGACAAGATGGAGAACTTTTCACAGTCTGGATATACTTTGCGTTGAGCATCATCGAAGAACTTCATGAACTTCAACAAATTGTGCCTCTCCGAACTAGTACGTTCTTCGTCGATATTATCATCCATGAGACCACTCATGTAAATCTCTTCTAACATGGTAGGAAGTTCATCCACATTTTCGTGATTGTCAGTCATTCCAGGTTCATTGGTTTCGGTATCATCGTTTCGCATACTAGGATGATCACGAAATATGGGAGCATGTTCCCCATGGTGCACCCAAGTTCGATAAGAAATTGTGATTCCTCTTCGAATCAAATGCAACCGTACAACGTGTCGACTAAATTTTGTGCCGTTCAAGCAATCAACACAAGGACAACGGATCTCATCCTGCGGCCCTAAATTCTTTGTAGCGAACTCAATAAATGACTGAACACCCTCTAAATACTCTTTACTTTTTAGCCGATCTTGTATCATCATCCAACTCTTATCCATTATTGGAACAGTACACATCAACCAAAGATGAACCTGGGAATGGACGGGAACTTGGAAAAATACTCTGTAATGGAAGAGAGCTTAAGTAAGTTTAAGGGTTCGATTAGCATTGCTTGTTGATGTTTACCGAAATAGTAATGACATATCGGGATGTTATGCCTATTTCTCAGCTGCATAGAGTTGGCTAATTTCAGTAGTAACTCGGCATGTATGCATACGCTAATGTGACATACATGAACAATTCTATGTCAAGTCATCTTACAGGGAGATATATAATTTATATGTAACAAACATTATACTGAATTCTATATATTTGTTCCAATCAGTAGCAAAATCATTTTAAAATTCAAGAAAAATATTAGACATTTACTACATGGTGTAAAACATAGATGGACACTTTACAATAATAATTTTACTCCATAATTTGACTGTATGATGAAAGAAATGAAGAATTTTTTTTCTCAAAGTAAAACCGAAAGTGGGGAAAAAGTATATCATAAATCATCAGTAAAGCTGGTAAAGCAGACAAAGTAGAGAACTGAAAAAGCATACACATATAAATGAGCTTTCAATAGACAGACATTAAAAGTAGATACATTTCAAAAACACTATACAATTCAAAGAACAACCTGTTTCTTAACCTAAATACATTTTTTTTTTTTAAAAAAAAGTTTATATCATTGTAAGTTGAAATGTCAATGTTTTGGCATCGAAATGACAATTGGTGTTTTGAAATTTATGCTTATCCGTCAGCATAATTAACTATAGAAAAATCAAACATAAAATAAATATAGATAAATTTAAAATTGCAACTTTTCTTTAATTTATTGTTTTTATTTTTTATCACATGACATTGCAAATCAACACTATAAATCCAAGCAGGCACATTTATCAATTGGAAGGTATTATTGAGTGAGTCAGTCTAGTAACATCAATTGTTCTAGCACTGTTTTCAATAGTTAAGAAATAAATGATCTAATTTTGAACTAGTGTCATGGACCCAGTGATAATAAATGATCAAATTACACACAACAAATTTGTGTTTTTTGAAATTCATGTACATAGTGAGAATACAGATAATTAAGTGATTCAAACAAATGAAAATTGAAAATTTACTCAAAAAAAGCGGGAGATGAAACATTGGATTTAACTACAGAAATTACATGTAACAGAGAGTACGTATTTGTAGCATTGGAAATCAAACAGATAAGTTACTCCAAGTCTACAATCCCGAAAATGGAGAGAACAATGTTTACTTGATCAACGAAGTCTGAGCCTGTTGCATACTCTGTTAGCATCCCAACAGCAAAACCAAACATTCCCCATCTGCTCAAAAAATAAATGAATAAATAAAAATACAGAAAGATGAAAAATCCCAGGTTAAGAAATTGACTTGCCTCGCAGAATATTGAATTGATTTGTGTATGGAAGCAAAAATTATATTTATAAACAATTTGAGCGACTAATCTATACTCCAAATTAGATGAGTTTGTTCAAACCAATGTAGGACAAGAAAATCAGCAATAAAACTTCAATAGTTGTCAAACATGCTCTGTGTATAGCCATCCACAAGTAGCATTGGAATTCAAGAGTGATGGATTGTAATCAGTGTATACCCATACCGAAAAAACCTAATAAAGAGGATTGAAAATAGATAAGCCTCTTTAGTCCAAGATGTAAAAGAACCAACCTGGAGGGGGATACAAAAAAGCTACCCTCGCAGGTGATTTGATGAAACAAAGAAAACAAAAACAAAAAAATCAAAATAAAATTGATGTCTAGTGTGAAAACACCTGGCTTTCGAGAAATACCACTAAAGTTTGTTTTTTTTTATTTTCTGAAACGCAAAAACAAACCCAAAAACTAGAATACTTTGAGAAACAGATGATTTGCAGAAAGGGATACAGAGAAGCGGGGATGATACAGAAGGGGGGGAGAAAAGAAGTAGAAAACTTAATCAGAAAGCAAATTGTTTTACAAAAACACTTTCACTGATTTGGTTTACTATGAATTGTATAGTGTTTTTCCTCACAACCTCTTTCTCCAACCTCACGAAATCAGAAAAAGCCCTAAATACCTGTAATCAGAAAAAGCCCTAACTTAATCAGAGCTTTGATTACGAAATCGATAGAGAGGGAGAGAGAACATTTCAAAAACATTTCGATAGAGAGGGAGAGAGAAATACCACGTGAGCCACGGGGATGGAGAGGGAGAGAGATACAAACAGACAGACACAGATCGATAGAGAGGGAGAGACAAATACCTGTAATCAGTGGTGGGCCGGACTGCAATGTTCGTGGTCGCGAGCGCCGGTGATGAACGACGGTGGCCAGCGGCGCAGAGCTTTGGTATCGACTGCTCTGTGGTGTGTGTCAAACAGAAGAGAAATAATCCTTTGTTAAATGTAGGCACCAATATTAATGAGTTTCCCTCTAAAAAAACATTTGGAAACTTCGGCGACTAAATATTTGTTTTGGTTGCCAAAAAGCATAAAAATTTCTCCCATTTTTTTGACGACAAAAAGTTTTGTCGCGAAATGTTATCATACGGCGACGAAATTGAACTTTGGTAGCGTAAAGTGGTTCAAAACAGCGACTAAAAACAAATTAGTCGCCAATAATACTATATGGTGACTAAAAACTTTGGTAGCTAAAAATACTAAATGAATGCCAACTAAAAATGGAATTTTGGTCGCCGAACACCCTGTTTTTGGCGACTAAAATTGGTTTGGTCGCCAATTTTAGTCGCCAAATGTACGATTTGTTGTAGTGAAGGGGCACCCAAGTTTTGTGAAGGAGGGAGTTATGGACCAAGCTTGATGCGTGGTGTGAGTCAAGTCCTAACTTGAATTTTGGAGGTAGAACTCTCACTAATACCAAAGGTTGAAAATCCTGTGGGGCTTGGAGACTATAGACCAATAAGCCTTGTTGGTTTAGTATATAAAGTTCTCGCAAAAGTTTTGTCTAGTAGGCTAAAACGAGTACTTACCCACATCATCAATGATACTGAATCAGCTTTCATAGGAGGTAAAAATATTTTGAATGGTGGATGGATAGAAGAAAACCAATTGGAGAGGAGTGATTATCAAGCTTGATTTTGAAAAGACTTTTGATTCCGTAAATTGGTGCTTCTTATCAACTATGCTCTTGAACTTTGGGTTTGGAACAAAATGGATTAACTGGATAAAAGAATGTGTTACCTCTGCAAAACTCTCTGTGTTAGTTAATGGTTCACTAACTGAGGAGTTTTGTCCTCAATATGGTCTTAGACAAGGTGACCCTCTATCTCCTTTTCTGTTCAACATAGCAGTTGAGAGCCTTAATATACTTATGTCAAGAGCACTTCAGATTGGCTTGATTAAAGGAGTGAAGGTTGGTTCTAGTGGGATGGTGTTATCACATTTACAATTTGCAGATGATTTCATATTGTTTTGTGAAGCTGAGGAGATGGAGGTGTGTAATATCAAGAGGGTTTTAAGGTGCTTTGAATTGATTTCTAGGCTAAAAATAAACTATCATAAGAGCCAGGTGTGTGGAATTAATGTACTAAAGGAGTCTTTATCCAGTTTTGCTTCAAAATTACACTATAAATTCAAGGCACAAGTCAACTTGAAAACCAGTTCTTGATAAAGTCAGAAGCAAACTAGCAGGATAGAAAAGGAAACTACTATCATTCTCATGGAGGCTCACTCTATTAAAGTTTGTGACCTCTGCCTTGCCACTGTTCTATCTATCTTTATTTAAAATGCCTATAGGGATAGCAAGAGAATTTGAGAAATTGCAGGCTGTTTTCCTTTGGGAAGAGTGAGAGTCAAGAAAACCAATTCACCGGGTTAAATTGGATGAATTAACAAAGAGTGAAGCAGGAGGGGCTTAGGCATTAGGAGAGTTAGGTTGGTAAATGATTATATGTTATTAAAATGCAGTGGAGATTTGGCATAGAGAAAGATGCTTTGTGGAGAAAGATTATTTACAGCAAGTATAATTTAGATGTTAAAAGCTGGTGTTCTTCTTCTATCTCAAGCAGCAAATACTCATATGTGTGGAAAGAAATCATCTCCATACCAAAGAGGAGTAATAGTCTGAGATGTCAAGGTAGGGGATGGTAAAAGAACCAACTTCTGGAAGGACAAATGGTGTAGCAATTATTGCTTGAAAGATGAATTCCCTATTCTTTATGGATTGGTGACGAAGAAGGAGGAAACCCTGAGATCAATATATAACAGGAGGGTTGCTTTAGGGAATTGGAACTTTCAATTTAGAAGAAGGTTGTATGACTGGAAAGAAAGGGAAGTAAGTAGGCTCAAAGTGCTTCTAATGTGTGTCACTAGTTTATGTGATGATCTGGAGGACAATCTAGTCTGGTTAGCTGCAAGATCTGGTCTGTTTTCTGTCTCCTATGTCTATCGAGTGAAATTGACTCCCTTGGTCCCTCCGTTATTACTTATAAGTTTGTCTGGAACAAATTTGCACCTCCAAAGGTTCAATTTTTCTGTTGGTTAGCCTGGAAAAACAGAGTCAAGACAGCAGACTTTCTTTAGAAAATTAGAGTGATTCAAGCTAATGCTCTAGCCCTCTGTGTTTTTTTGTAAAGCTAAGATTGAATTTACCTGCCATGTGCTGCTACATTGTCATTTTGCATGGAAGGTTTGGGCTGCAATGATGGATTGGTGGGATTTGCAAGGGACTCTACCAGGTTCTGTGGAAGCTGTATTTCATTGGTGGGAATGTGATAAATTGAACAGAAAAGCAAAATTGATATGGAAGGTCATTCCCTTGACTGTCCTATGGTCACTGTGGAAGCTTAGATATGAGTGCATTTTCGAATCTGCTACACTTCAGTTGGAGAACTTGTGTGATTTGATTAAAATTAGAGTTGCACTGTGGCTGAACCAAAGATTCAAGGATTTTCATTTCACTATACAAGACTTCTTGACCAATCTGAGACAAATAAGATGGAGTTTGGGGAGTAGATCTGTTATGGGCTGTTGATATAGAGCT